CTAAGGTGCTCTTTGTCATGAAAGTATCTTATTTCTCCATCAATTTTGAAAGATAGTTTTGCAGGGTACATCAATCTGGGTTGGAGGTTGTTTTCTTTAAGGGCTTGATATACTTCACTCCAGGGTCTTCTTGACTTGAGAGTTGTGCTGAGAAGTCTGCTGTGATTCTGATGGGCTTTCCTTTGTGATTTGCTTCTTTTCTCTAACTGCTTCTAGTATTTTGCTCTTCTGTGGGGTTTCTGAAATCTTAACTATTACATGCCTAGGTATAGATTTTTTTTGATCAAGGCTAGTTGGAGTCCTACATGCCTCACTTATCTGTATGTCAAGTTCTTTTCTCCTGCTTGAGAAGTTTTCTGCCATTACCTCTGTGAACAGTCTTTTTATGTCATTTGCACTGTCTCCTGTTTCTTCATTGACTGCAATAAGTTTTATGATATTCTTCTCTGTATCATCTAGCAGCTGCTGGATTGATTTCTCATGGTCCCTTACTATTGTTAAGAATTTATTTTTCCTGTTCACTAATTGCAATCCTATCTTCTATATCTCCTATTCTGTCCTCACATTGGCTTATTCTGCTGCATAAACTATCAATGGAGCTTTTAATCTCCTGGATATCTGTTTGCAACTGTTTTATGGATTCCATTTGTTTCCTATGTCGGGATTCCATCGTGTTCCTCAGCTCCTCTATTTCTTTATCTGTGTCTGCTCTAGAGTTATTAGTCATGTCTTTCACCATGGACACAATCTCTGTTGTTATCTGAGAAATTATTTCTGATTTCATTTTTTCCAGATCCTCTTTCATTGCCAGTTTAGGTAGTCCAGGTGGTTGAGTATTAGCCTGTTCCATTTTGTTGCCCTATGGGGTTGGCTTAGGTGATCTGGAAGTCTGGTTTTGAGACTTGTTTACGTGTCTTCTCATTTCAACAGATGCAGCCTGCTGTGCCTTTGTTGAGATGACTTTTTGCTTGCCTAGTGGGCTTCAATTCTTAGCAAGCCTCAGAGAGGCCTTCTTTCTGCTGCTCACTATTGTGCCAATTCCTGGGTTCAGAGTGGTGGCCTTCTGGATCCTTGAGCTTCACTGTTTTCTGGGCAGGGTTCTGGCTGGGGCCTGAGCACACTTGGGATGGTATCTGGGCATGCCTCTGGTTGGGGCCTATTCACCTGCATAACTGTTGTCTGGGTGGGCCTTTGGCTGGGGTCTGCATACATTTACCTATGGTGTCTAGGTGGGCCTCTGGCTGTTGCCTACAAGCCTGTGCAGCTCTTTTCCAGGCAGGCTTTTGGCTGGGACCTGTGGGTCCAAGCTCTTGGTGCCTGGGCAGGTCCCTGGCTGGGACCTGTACACCTGTGCTGCTCTGGTCCACGTTGGCTTCTGGCTGGGGTCTGTGTGCACTTACGGGTGGTATATGGGCAGGCCTCTGGGTGTTGCCTGCTTGCCTTTGTAGCTGTTTAGGTGGCTCCAAGCCACTGGTCCCTGAGAACTTTTAAAAGATAGATGCCAAGGGCTCATCTCACACTTAACTGAGTCAAAGTCCTGTTATAGGTGTGGGTTTGGAATGTGGCAGTCAAGAACCTCTGCTGTGGTGCTCTACCATAGTAGAAGGATAAACTCTTGCCACATCACTTTACAAAGAGTATCATAGTTGACAGCTATCTGTTAATTTTTATCTTTGGATTTGGCCATACTGTTTGGAATCTAAATGAGTTATCTAACATTTCTTTCTCCAGAATGTCTTGAAAGACTTGGTCAGATTCCTTGGAATTTGCTTGTGGTGCTTAATCTTGTCAATTTGATTGGCATGAGAAATTAGTAAAACAGACTTCTGGGTGTGACTGGGTGGGTCATGGAGGCATTGCCTTGGAGACTATATTTGATCCCTGGTCCCTACTTCACTGGGCTTGTCCTTTGCTCTCTGTTTCTCAGAAAGCGAGAGTGGAGCACCTTTCTCTGCCATGCCCTTCACCCTGTTTGTGCCTTGGAGCCAGTCAACCATGGAGGGAAACTTCTAAAATAATGAGTCAAAAGAAACGTTTATTCTTTTTAGTTGTGGGTGTCAGGTATTTTGTCCCAGCAAAGGAAAAGATTGCCATATGTTTCCTTTATCATCAAATAGGGGAACCTTCTGAAATGTTTGCCCTAGAGAGCAAATTTCTATCTATGCCACTAGAGAACAATCATATAAAGAGCTTGAAGGTTCTGTAATTCACAGTGAGAAAAGAACTCAACATTCCTAAGGTAGCACTGGCTTAAAATCATTTTAGTGAGGAGGGAGGCTTCCACTCTGTGAATGATACTAAGCAAGTTAATTGTTCTGTGTGGCTGGAGGATTTTCAGTTCTTTAAGCTTATGAATAATATATTCCCCTTTCCACCTTGTCTTCAGTACCCAAATCTCTAGTATAAAAAACAATCCTTTCTGTCTTAGTCACTTCCCTCATTGCTAAGACAAAATGCTTTACAACCACAATTTGAATGAGGAGAGTTATATTTTGGCTCACAGTTTGTAGAGGTTTCAGTCCACAGTAGGCTGACTCCAGGGCAGGATGGGATGCCAGAGGAGCATGAGGGAGAAGCAGAGAGAGAGTTATCAAGGGAGGAGAGGGGGAGATAGACCCTTCTAGGCCACACCCCCAGGGGTCCACATCCTCTTACCAGGCTCCACCTCCCAACAACACATTTAGCTATAAACTCATCAGTGGACTCAACCACTGATGAGTACCATGCACCCATGATTCAATAACCTCCTGAAAATCCAACCTATGAGCACATGAGGCGTTGGGGGAGGGCCACAACTAAATGTAAATTGTGACATCTTCCCCGACAAAAAGTCCTGAATATTCACTAGTTCCACTAGTTCCAAATGAATTCTGTCTGCAAACAGGCTGTGGACAGATACTACTTAGCTAACTAAATACATCATTGAAAAATATAAAAATATTATAATGAATATATATGTATTGTTTCAGAGTTCTAAAACTCACTTTTCCCATTCAGAACAGTTCCATGGTTCTGATGTTTTTAACCATGACAATAAGGCCACCTTCAGCACTTCTTTGTGTGAATTTGTGTTCTAGCTTTTACCCAAGTAACTGTTTATTTGGAAAATGGAACTCCTATGGTGGTTGCTATTAATAGCCTTAATATTCTAAGCAACTTTAGATCTGCCACTGAGTCACTCTCCTATTTCTAAGTTTTTAAAAAAGATGACCCTCCATCATATATAACAGCCACTGAAATGCAAAAGTCCCACAAAGCCCTCGGTATTAAGAGAAAACTGCCATTACTTACTTTAAATGAGTCAGTGTGTATTTCAATCATTTTCTAGCCTGCTATCATTTGCTCAAAAAGCCTTTGCACTGGATCTTATGTAAGAAAAAAAAAAATGAAGGAGCTGCTTTGGTGAATTTCATTTAAAGAAACTATTAAATACAGGGTTAATCTGAATAGCAGCATCATTTGTGGTAAATAGGACCTATAAATTCATTACCTCAATTCAGGTTGATAAAACTGAGTCTGGTCCCAGGGAACTTCTTTGTGTTCACTTCTTACCACTGCCTCCTCTTTTACTGTCCTCCAGCCACAGTGACTTCTTTCCTCGCCCTTGAACTTGCCAAACACATTTACTTTTCTGAGGACTTCGTGTTAGTCCCTTTATCCGTGACTCTTCCCTGATGGTCACAGGACTGACTCACTCGAATCCTTCAGATCCCTGCTGAAATGTCACTCTAGGAAGTCGTTCTTGGCCAACTCGAAATAACACCTCCCCTCACCTTCTACTCCTTCACTTTGCATTATTTTTCTGGGTGGCAGTCACATATTCAGCATATTATTTATTTTAAAGCATATTTATCCCTTCTTTGAGAATACAAGCTCCAGGAGGGAAAGGAGAATGCACGTTGTCATTCCCTGGTATCCTTGCAAGATTATAGCCTGGTAACTAGTAGGTGATCAGTAAATATATGAATGAATGAGTGAGGCTCTTTGGGACACTGCAAGCCGTTTCGCTTCCTTTGCTGGGTGCCTCATTCCACCTTCCCCCTTTCAGCAAAGGTGGCTGGCTGGTCTCAGGCTCTCGAGATTGCGCATGTGTGCCTGTTATCCCACTCCACAGTCCCACTTCGCCTCAGCCTACTGCCCCGGGCTAGGGAAGGGCAGGTCTGCAGTACCCGGAAAGTGGAAGCGAAAGCAGAGAGGGGATAGCACGAACGGGAAGGGAAAGTCTATGCGGAGGCACATCGGTCTCCTCCTGAGCCAGCTTGCGCACAGCTTGGCCTTCCCGGCCCGGCTGACTCATTCCCAGCCGCCTCCACGGCGGGCGGCCCCACACGCCCATCTGGGGAGTGCCAAAACCAGCCCGGACACCGAGCCCCTGCCGGGCCCTAGTGCTCAGCGAGCCGCTGCCACCTCGGCTCCCTCGCTCGCTCACGCCCGGGGCTGCCCCGGGAATCTCCACGCGTGTCGCCACTTGCCGGGAGGCCGCGCCGAGGGGTACCCTCGGGGCCAGAGGCCGGCGCACGCGCAGTCGGGGGTGCGTCATCTCCCGCCCCGCCCTGCTCCGCGGCGCTTCGACCGGAGGCCGACGCCGAGGCGGGTCTGACGCTGGCTGGCTGGGCTTTCGAGCCAGTGTCGTCTGTGGCATTGAGGAGACCGTGTGGCCCCGGAGAGGGTGGAGACAACGGCGGTGACGGGCTTCCCGGCCGCCCGAAGTGGGAGTGGTGTGGGCTGCAGGAAGCCGAGAGGAAGAGGAGCAGAAGCGGGTAGCAGCGGCCGCCGCTAACGGCCTCGGCAGCCCTGACAGGCTGGGCGGGCGCCGGCGGTCTCGGGAGTTCGCGCCGCGCGCCGGTCCCTCGCGCCCCTGGGCCGCGTCCTGCGGCGCTTGTCGGGGCGGACTGCTGCGGCAGCGCGGGGACAGGCCTGGTCTTCGCCTCCGAGGGATGTGAGTGGGAGCTGAGCCCGCGCGGGAGGGCCCTCGAGGGCCCAGCCTGGCGGACGCTCGGACCCGTGCCTGGTCTGGGGGCTTTCGCAGACCTTGGCTTGCCGGAGGGATAGTGGAGGCGCGACCCCTTCGGGCTCCAGGGCGCTCCCTCACCACGGTGTCCTTGCAGCCGGTAGGTGTTGGCGCTGCCTGGCCTCTGGATGGAGGGCAGCAATTGTGTCTCTAACCCCTTCTCACCTCTTGACCTCTGCCTTCTCCTGCCAGTGGCAGTAAACTTCTCAGCTAGAAAAGCTTCCTCTTTAAGACAAAACCCAGAACTCAGTGTTTTGCTGTTAATATTTGCATCCATGCTTATAATTTCTCCTCCTCTCCCTTACTTACCCCTCTTTAAAATTTTCTAGACAACAGGTTAGAAAAGAGCATCTGTTTCCCCTGGATTTCTGAGGTAGTAACGGCTGCTTCTATTTTTAGGTTTACAGAAGCAGGCAACAGGAACAAGATGTGAATTATTTCTTTTCTGCAGAAAAAGAGGCCCTTCCTCCAGCTCCCGCTTTGGTGGGTATGCGATCCTGGCTGCTTTGTATTACTGCAGAAAAGGTGAGGGTGTCAAAAGCTGTGAGTATGTGTGTAGGAAGAGGTTGGTTGTCTGTGTGGACAGGCAGGGTTCCTTGTTGCTTACACTGAAACTAGCACTGCCGAACTTTTAAAGTTGCTGTGGGACAGTAATTTTGGGTCTTTATTGTTGCTCTTAGATCCTTTAAGGAGCATTTCGGTTTGGTTTTACAACTAGCAAGGCCTTGCAAACATTTCCCCTAACTCTTCCTTCTCAAGCAGCCAGAGGTTCTTAATTTTTCAAAGAAAGATATTTCTATGTAATTAAAAAAAAAAAAAAAACACCTTTGAGCTGTTTTTGCTGGGGTTTCTGTTGCCACGTCGAATGTTTCCTGGATGGTTTTATCTGCCTAAGCTGGCCGTGTCGGTTGAATTTACCCAGTTTGCCTTCCAGTAGTTATTAATCTGTCAGGGAAGCTACTTTTCTCTGAATGAAAGGATAGGAGCAGCTGAGTATGTCAGAGAGGGGAGGAGGAAATGTGGAGATGAAAAACAAAAGTGGGAATAAGGGAAATGATGATTACTTTTGGTTTCATAATACGTTTGTACAAGTGGGTTGTTAGGCTACTGCAAATATTCTGATACAATCCCCAGCAGATTTGAAAATGAATACTCAACTTTTGGCCCCTCTTCCCCCATCTGCTTCATCTTTTACCACCTCAAGTGAAAATTCTTGCTTGTAGGTGCACTTATCTGTTGGAGTGTAACATACTGGGAAATTGGATGTGTCCAACACTTGCCATTATAATACATGTATTCACCTGTAGAGGAAAGCTGCAGTACTTCCCAGCTAGTATTTAATTCTTATTTTTGCTCTAATTAAATGTCTTTCGTTTGGAGCTTATAGCATGTTTTAGAAACTGGTTAAGAAATACTGTAGTTTCTTTCAATTTAGTGATTTAAGACAGGTATCTCAGGTACATATCTTTACTTCACCTGGCGATTCTTGAAAGATGGGATGCTTTTGAGGCAAAATAGGAAAGCTCTTTGGCTTTGGAGTTAGATCTGGGTTTTTTTTGTACTGGGGATTTTAACTTGTGATGTTGCGCTTGCGAGGCAGGCAGCAGAACCACTGAGCTAAATCCCCGGCCCTAGATCTGGGTTTGAATCATGGTGTCCTTGCCCCTTAACAGTTGTATTATTAAAGTCTTTTCGAGCTTCTTATAAGATTGTAGTGAGGATTGAATAAAATACTTGCAGAGTAGTAAATTGCTCAGCTGCTATAGAAGTTTTGGCTAAGCTTTGTGTGGTGGCACATGCTTGCAGTCCCAGCTGCTTAAGAGGCTGAGGAGGCAGAATCATTTGAACCTACAAATTCAAGACGAGCCTGGGGAACATAGTGAGACTCTGTCTTAAAAAACAACAACAAAGTCTTGGGTACTATAAAAGGTAGGCTGGCAAAGGAGATTCAGAGGAAGTTAGAATGACAGTGCATAAGGTGTTCTACCAGTGACCAGTAGTTCTCTTTAGTATAAGAAGAAAAAGGACTCTCAGATCTTGAACTAGCTAAGGGGTTTTATAGCCTCTGCATGGTTAGGCTTGACTTACTATCTCTGACCCCCTTTGCACTGCCCCTTTCTACTATTGTGCTGCCCTCTTGTGGTTGACTGTACTAGGATCTTTCTTGTGCTTCTTCCTTGTTAAATTGTCCCTTTTAACGCCCTTTCTTTCATTCCCAAAGATATGAAAGGGGCCTAAGGTCCTCAGAAAAACAGTGAACTTACAGTGGAACTATTAGTTTAAGGTAGTCCTTGGTTTCAGCGTTAGAAACCTACATTGCTTTTTACAATATTGTAACTTTGTAAAGGGATATATTCAGAGGTTAATCTGTTGCAAAGCAAGTGTTTGCTGCTTGAAAGTCAGTGTGGAACAGGAAATGATGGTGTGGTAGTGTCTAATTTGATTCCAAGTTTTGAGAAGTTGTAGAGTGCCCAACAGACACTAAATTGTAAAGATATTAATACTTACTAAATTGTTTGAACCTACTTGCTTATTTTTTTTTTTTGACCTGAAAAATTTACTGAAGAACTTAATAAATGAAGATAGTTTGGGAACTTCTGAGCTAGCGTTTTATTGCTTTTTCTGTAGAATTATTAATACAGAGCTAGTGCCAGCTGATCATGGTTTAATGTATTTCCTCTTAATTAATATTAATATAACTTCTGCTCAGTTCTTTTACTTTAAAGGGAATGCTATTATTTGTCATTTCCTATTGTTTGGTAATCGTCTTCTGCTACTATTTCTTTCTTTCTTTTTTTTGGTACGGGTGATCAAATGTGGGACCTTTCTCTTGCGAGGCAGGCAGCAGAACCCTGGCCTGCTACTCCTTTCCTTTTCCTTTTCCTTTTCCTTTTCCTTTTCCTTTTCCTTTTCCTTTTCCTTTTTATTCTTTTCTTTTCTACCGGGGATCAAACCCAGGACCTAGTGCTTGCAAGGCAGGCATGGTGCCACTGAGCTAAATCCCTGGCCCTTCTGCTACTATTTCTGATCAACTGCTTAAGCTCAATGTGCCCTCAAAGGAAATCATCATTATGTAAGCCTGCCATAGTTTGGATTTTGAATGTTCCTCAAAGGTCAATGTGTTAAAGAGTTGACCACCAAGGCTGTGGCATGATTGGGAGATTGTGGAACTTTTAGAAAGTAGGGCCTAGTGGAGGGAAGTTAGCTCTTTGGGGGCCTTCAAAGGGGATATTGGGACCTGGCCCCTCTTTTCTCTGTTTCCTAGCTGCCGTCAAGGTAAACAGGCTTCCTCTACTACATGCTTCCATCCACCATGTACTGTATCACTATAGGCCCAAAGCAACAGGGCCAAACAACCGTGGATTGAAATCTCTCCCTTGGGCCAAAATAAACTTCCTCATTTTAAGTTAATCAGGTATTTTATCATGGTAACAGGAAGCTGATTAATACAATTTCTTAACTTTCTAGTTGGTCATGTAGGCTTTAAAGAAGCATTTTATTTTATTTTGTTTTTTGAGATAAGATCTTGTTATGTAGTTCAGGTTGGCCTTGAACTCACTATGTAGCCCAGACTGACCTTGAATTTGGGCAATCCTCCTGCCTCAGCCTGCTGAGTGCTGGGCTTATAGATGTGCACCACTACACCCAGTTTAAACATTGTCTTTAAATCTCTTTTATTTACCTTTTATAATAACCCACCCAACTTGTTCAGAAAATTTTTTTCCTCATATCTCTTTTCCCCTTTACTGATTGAATCCCAAGATTTGATTCTTGAGCCTAAAATATTAAAAGTCAGATCATCTTCTTAGAATCTAATGTCTCTTCCTTCTATTTATCCTCAATAGAGATATCACTATAATACTTTTTATTGAGCCATTTGTGTCTGTTTTTCACCTATTTAACTCTCTTCCTGGCTTTCAAAATACTCTTCTATAACAATGTCTACCCTATTCAGTCTTTTGTCTAAGGAGCCTTAGCAAGTATTTTCTGCTGTAGACTTGCAGTTTGGTTTATGCTTATTCTGTCCTTTAACATTGATTCATGTTCTCCATCCTTCTTCTGCCCAGTCCACTTGTACACCTTAGTTCACTGTTTACTTGATATGAATCAACTGAGTAGTGTCCCAGTGTCCTAATCCAGGAAAATGATGAGAGTTGTAGTACTTTCTCCATAGGGTTGTAGTGAGAATTAAAAATGAATTAATATATTAAAAATTTTCATGCCTAGCACAGTAAGATCTTAAAATGTTAGCTACTATATTACAGTTACTTGTCACTATTATTGTTACTGCTACTGTAAATACTCTGAGTTAAAATTCCACCTCATTTGTGAAACTCTTTCTCACTATATTAGTTTTTTTTCTTTATTTCTATAGCTTAGTCTTAGAACATCTTCACGATTTATATGCTATGTTTTGGTTGTTTGATAGTTATTTTCCTAGTGTTAGCCATATCTTTTCAAGTTGTATACTTTGAGAAACAGTACCTTAGGTAAGAAAAAACACACAGTGTGGAGCACACATAAACAATATTCAATAAATATGTTGTTTACATATTAAAAGAGAACTTTAGTCATCAAATATTTATTAATGCCTGCAACATAAAAGGTATTTTGCCGTGTCCCAAAGACATACAGAGAAATATAAAATATGTTCTTTTCTGTGAGGACTTAGTATAATTGGGGATATAAGATAAATAGTTAAATTTATAGGTTTTGAGAGCGCTTAGAGTTAGTTGAGGTGAGCAGAGAAGGCTCTAAAGAGGTACAATTAAAACTAGGCAGATTTGGTTTTACATGAGGAAGAAATTTGTATAGGAGGTAATCAAAGCAAAGTGTGCATGAGATGTTCAGAGAACAGTACCTAGAATAACTGGATTGAAATAAAGGTTTGTGTGAGAGAGTGGTAACAGATCAGGTTAAAAATGTAGAGTGGTATTAGATTATGGAGGCTTTATGTGATAGGATGAGAAGAAATACTTTATTCCATAGGTAATGGAGAAACTTTTAAGTTTTAAATTGGGAAAGAGCTTTCTAAAATAAATATTTTAGGAAGATTGAAGTGGGGCCAGTGATAGGTATAATATGAATTGTAAAATGAAAATAATCTATGCCTGAAGAATTGGATTTAGTGAAAATAGGTCAGATTGGAGAGATGTCACAAAACTTGATCATGGTGCTTGCTTTTGCATCACATATATTGAAATTAGAATGATACAGGATTAGCATGGCTGCAGTGCAAGGATGATGTGCAAATTTGTGAACTGTTCCATATTTTTAAATGAATACCTAGAGCAATTTCTCATTGTATCCAGGTGGTTGTGTCAAGTCTTTACTCTTCATATTCAGGATTTTTCTTGCTGAAAGCTGGGAGGTATTGCGCAGGCTTGTACCCAAATGGCCAAATATTTATGAAATACTTATATTGGTTTGAAGATACTATAAGTCACCATGGGAAAAAGATGTATCAAAATAAATGGAAGGCAGTATATGGCACTAAGTTAAATAAATTGTTTAAAAGAACTTAAAAAAGACTTTATCATGGGCTAGATAAGAAGAGAGATTGGGAAGAGAGGAGTAATTTAAGACGATTTTGAAGTTTTGTTTTTTTTTTTGGTACCAGGGATTGAACTTGGGACCTTGTGTTTGTGAGGCAGGTGATGGCACCACTGAGCTAAATCCCTGGCCCTGATTTTGAAGTTTTGATCCTCAGTGACAGGAAATCAAAGGGTTTTGAAATTATATGACATTTCAGAACATCTGGGCCAGTCCATACATTTTGTGCTTTAGGAATCTTGAGACCCAAAGAGATTTTAAAAATGTATTCAGTGTTACTCAGCTAATTAGTGACAGAGAAAGAACTAGATTTTGGTTAATAGTAATACTAACAAAAATATGTATATAGTAATTGGTTGAGAGGCTATAGATGGTTGAGCCTATGTTGTGGATATGTTGAATTTGAAGTGATGGTGGCATAGGCAATGAAATTTATAGCTGGAGAGTAAGACCTCTGACTATCACTATGGAGAAGTTAAGGTTGGCACTATTGTACTTAGAAGAGTGTGGGCCTGAGATTAAGCCTTGGGAATTGCCCATAATTAGAGAGTGAGTAAAAGAGAAAATGATGAAAAAGACCAAAGGAGTTATAGTTAGAAGGAGAGAGACGAGCGAGTGGGTAGGTAAAAGTGAGAGTGATGTTGATCATTGTTGATTTCTATCAAGAAATGAGAAATAATTAGAGCTGACAAAATATCTAAAAATATACTAGTATTTTTAAATATGAAATGTAAAAAAGCAGAAAGAAGAAGAAAATTGCTTATAGTTTTCCATGCAGAAATAACCACTGATAATATTTTGTTCTCTCTAGTTTAACTAAAGAACTTTGAACTTGATAATTGGGGATCAGTGGAGACTTCTATCCAAAGCTCTCCATTACTGGGATGTTGTAGTCAGGGTTGGCAAAGGAATAGATTTAATACAGGACACATAATTTATACGATTATTTTTTTAATATTCACTTAAAAAGTCAAATGCAGAGGAGTACAAGAGATCTGTCCACACATTAGAGACCTGAAGAATCCATCAAGGGCCTGGATCCCTCAGCAGTGTCCCGCACTAGTCCAGCTAAAGGCCTAGAGCCCAAGGCAATGTCCTCCCTGGGTCCAGCCAGAGGTCTAAAGCCCATGGCAATATCTTGTACAAGTCCATATTGAGGAAGGCCCAAAGGCCAGTGGTGAAAGGTAGAAAGCCTGTGCCGGCAGGGGTTGAGGGGAAGGATTTGTACCACCAGGCTGAGGGATCTGCACCTGGAGCCAGGAAGTAAAGCTCAAGGCGAAAACCAGAGCTCCCCTGACTAGAACAGCAGCCATTCCCAGTGACAGCAAGGACCTGAGCTCCTCTGAAGATGAGAACAGCCAAGTTTGCATCAGAAAAACCAGCTGCAGCAAGCTTCTCCACAAAAATCAACAGCCAGTGATCTTCCCCTCCAGTCTAAGTAAAATGTAAAGTATTAAGTTTGCAAATGGAAAGAGAATTCTTGGTGGATAACATAAAAAACTGAGAGTAGAGTAATTAAAGAGTGATCAGGTTAGGATTGGAAAGAATGAAAGGAAACATCTATTTTTTTTTTCTTTTTGGTACTGGGACTTGAACTCAGGACCTTGCGCTTTCGAGGCAGGCGGCAGAACCACTGAGCTAAATCCCTGGCCCTAGAAACATCTATTTTTGAAGCTGGTACAGTATAGCTAGCTACAAGAAGTGAACTAGTTTGGAAATGTCAGTCTATAGGCTATTTGTTTGTTCTAATGCTTATTTTGATCTTCCCAAGGATATTCTCCTGCTTGCCTTTTTGGTGTTAGTCTTTGGTAATTGGAATTTATTACTTACTAAATGATTTTAGTTTAATAAATTTTGATTATGAATTATTATTCTACTAGGTAATATATATATATATTTTTGGCACCGGGGATCAAACTCGGGTCCTTGGGTTTGCGCAGCAGGCAGCAAAACCACTGAGCTAAATCCCTGGCCCCTTAGGTAATGTTTTGAAGTGCACTGTTTCATAAATCAGGCATTCAAGGACTGACCCTGCTATCTATATGGTAGGTGATTTTGGAGCAATTCATTTAATCATTGAGTCTTATTTTTTCCCTGTTTGAAAAATGAGGATGTGGACTAAGTCTTTTCATAATACTTTTATTTTGGTACCAGGGATCGAACTCATGGCCTTATGCTTATGAGGCAGGCATGCTGTCACTGAGCTAAATCCTCGGCCCTTTTTTTCATAATACTTTTAAAAGGTGGTATCATATGGCCAAACATATTTAAAGTTTGAAAAGAAAATGGCTTACTAATGTTTATAACAAAAGCCAGCATTCCCCTAACCCCATCTTCCATCTCTTGATTTCTATTTTCCAGGCAACCACTTTCAACTCATAACAATGTCTTCTGGTTCTTATCTTCATATTTCTAAGGAACATAATTCACCATCAAGAGACCCTCTTGCCCTTTATGCTCTTCTCTTTACCCCTTTACATGAATGAATTGTTCAGTGTTCTATTGAAGGACTCTTTGTCCAGTATCTATTACATTCTCAATTTTTTATTTCTACTAAATCACTTTCATCAAATATATTCTGATTGTTATTACTGTATAACAGAATCACCTATGATCTTAGTAATATAAAACAACTACTTTTCTTTTTAAAAATTAGATTTACAGATCTTGTAGGTCAGTAATTCAAATAGGGCACACCATTGCTCTACAATGTTTAGGACCTCAGCTGGGAAGATGTTTAAGCTAGGGGTGTTTGGAAGTTAGGGGACTAAAATCATCTGGTGATGCCTTTACTCGTGCAACAGGCGGTTGATGATGGTTGTCCACTGGGATCTCAGCTGGGCTGTTAACTAGAACATGGACATATGGCCTAGACATCCTTAGAACATGGCCTCAGGGTAGTTGGCTTTCTTACATAGTGAGTTGAGATATACTGTACAAGCAAGTGTCTCAGTGTATCTCAGCATAAATCTTTTATGATTTAGTTTTGGCACTTACACAGTGTAATTTTAGCCACATTCTACTGTTTAAAACTGTGTCCAGGGCTGAGGATTTAGCTCAGTGGTTCTGCCGCCTGCCTCGAAAGCACAAGGACCTAAATTCGATCCCCAGTACCAAAAAAAAAAAAAGTGTGTCCAAAGCCTGTCCAGATTCAAGAAGGAAGGGAGTTAGACTGTACTTATTAATAGGGAATGGCAAGGTCACATTGTGGAAGAAAAACACGGAATAGGAGATATTATAAAGGTCATCTCTGGACAATCTTATTAGTACAGTTTGCTCTTTTGCCATATTTCACATCCCTGTCACATCTAAAATATCCTAAACCCTCAAAGATCCCTAATTTACCTACCATCTTGTCATTAATTCAGAATCCAGTATCTCATCTAAATTAGATCCAGGTACAAGCTGGATCTAGTGGCACCTGCCTGTAATCTTAGCACTCTAGGAAGCTGAGATAGGAAGATTGCAAGTTTGAACCCAGCCTGGGAAATTTAGTGATTTAGCAAGATCTTGGCTCAAAATAATACATTTGAAAAGGGCTGGGGATGTAGTTCAGGGTGAAAGCCCTGGATTAGGTCCCCAGTACTACATAAGTAAGTAAGATCCAGGTACAGATGAGGTTTCTTGGTTAGTTTCTCGGGTATGGTTCTTTTTGAGTTGAAAACCTGTGAAGAGACAATTTATATGATTTCCAAATACTTAACATGTAAGATTTAAGGGGCACAGGTTAACTGCAGTAAACATTCTCATTCAAAAGGAGAGACAAATGAGGCCCACAGTATTCTATAGCAGTTCTGAAGCCCCATTGAGCACATGTTGCCAGTTCCTAGGTTAATCTCAAGCCTGTTTCCTCAAAGTTGTTCACTAAAGTGGACTATAGTTTCTTCTGGTCTTTGTTTTACCTTCTGAATCATTTTTTTTTTTTGAGAAGTGAGTTGTATTTGTAATAATAACCTGAGGTTTCTCCCTGCCTGTAGTGGTTCAGGGTCCAAAAGTCTCCTTTTACTTTACATATGATAGTCCCACTTATTCGAGGAAGATATATTACAAGACCCCAGTGGATGCTAAACCTGCAGATTGCACTGAATCTATATATATTATGTTTTTTCCTATATATATTGTGTTTTTAACATGTGTGCATTTCTTTCCATGTTTTTCAGGCCTTTCTTCCTGTAAATAATGTTCTTTTTTTCATTGTCTAAATTCTATTTTTCTTTTAATGTATAGCACATCTTCTAATTATTATTGTGTAAAATGTCTAAAACTTTACTTTCTTTTATTTATTTATTTATTTTTACTTTGTTTTAAATGATTGGGATCACTCTTTTGTCACTTCTGTAGCCCTTAAATTATTTATTTGGTACCTAGATTATGCATTAGCTGACCAAGAATTGAAGATTTTTTTTTTTTAAATGAGAGGAATATCTGAGCTTTAATTTATTTTATTATAGAAGTAAGAAAAGTAAGATTCGTTTGTTATATGACTAGTTTGCAGTATGAATGGATTAAAAATCAGTTTTGGGTCCCTTGAATCTCAGTTTAGTATCTTTTCCAATCTTTTTTTTTTTTTATACCAGAGATCGAACTCAGGACCTTGCGCTTGCGAGGCAGTCGGTGGAACCTCTGAGCTAAATCCCCAGCCCTCCAATCTTTTACATTATTTCTTCATGGATACCTTCCTGACAAGTTATGTCTCTTAGAATTACAAATTGTAAGAGTACATTTTGATAATGTTAACTTCTAAACATTTCATATTTGAGCTTCTGTTTTTCCATTATATATGCACATGATGTAGTAGCACCTGCCTGTAATCTTGAATTGAAATTTACTATAATTAATATTTAATCTTCATTTATTCAACAAATTCCATGTGTCAGATATTGTTCTAGGTACTAAGAGTGCGGTTTCCCACCTTTTGGAAAGTTTCAATATAGTAATACAAGAAAACCAATGAGCAAAAGAATAATCTAATGTATGGTGGGAAAAAATCAGAATAATGACTGCTTGGGTGGAAGAGGCAGTGGTTGGTGAAGGAACATGAGAATACTTTCTGGGATAATGATAATTTCTATAGGGCTTTGGATCACTCAGGTGCAGTATATAGGTACATACTGTCCTTCAGTACTCTTAAGATTTGTACATTTCATTTGTATAAGGAGTCTAGGGTGTTAACTTTTACTTGCAGCCATTGTTTCCCCTAAATAGGTTGTCAAGAGGGTACCCTCCTGCCAAATGTTGCCTGGTGCTATAGCTTTGGATAAGTTGCAGGTTTAGATAGAAGAGATGATGCAGATTTTTAAATACCAAGATGAAGCCAATCACATTCAGCTTTGTGATTGGATCTGCACTGTGTATAATATCTCTTTAGGGGAGAAATTTTAACTTGTTATTGAGAATATTAATGGAGTCCAAGGCCGAAGAGAGGCCTCACTTTGGGAATTCTAACCACAAAAATCAAATGGAAAACATGTTAGTAAAAAGCAGAATGGAATTTATTCAGTATAGTCATGCTGAAAAAACAGGAGGTGACCAAGTATCCTCACCCCTATCATTAAAAGCACTGACAAGGGTCTCAGGATTATGTAGAGAAAGAACTGGAGAAGGGACCAGAAAAAACACTGTTAAGCTGTTGTCGTCAACTGGTTAATTATTATCTCAGGTCTCATTCTGTGAGGTCCTGCTGTTTCTGGGGAAGTATTCTCACTGGAGGAGGCCATCCAGGTCCCATCATAAGATGATTACTCCTGATTAGGAGGGAGCCTTGGTTGCTGTCATGAGGTCATCACTCCCACTTAGTGTGGCAGTGCCATCGTGGATATGCCTACAAAGACTCTGTTCTTGGAACCTCGAAAATATCTTTTTTTATATTAAAACTTTTTTTTTCATTAATCTTATCAGTACATTTTAGGTATACATAATGATTGCATTCATCATTGGAAATTTGTACTTGTACGTGATATATCTTGGTTTTTGTTTTTTCTTATTCCCCTTTCTTGCCTTCCACCCTCCATCCCTCCCTATTTATAAAAGCTGTGTTTCTGTGTTTTCCATCTTTTATCATTTTTTTTTCCTTTTCCCCACCCCCTTCCTTAGCTCCCTGTCCCCTTTGAACCTTTTCTTCCTATTTCACAGTATCAATTATCCGTTTTGGTCCTCATTTATACTTTCAGTTTCTCACACCAGAGAAACAATTGGGTATTTACACATGTGTGTCCTATTTATTTAACTTAAGAGTATGGTCTCAAGGTCCATCCATTTAGTTATAAATATTTCTAGTTTCTCATTCTTTATGGTGGAGTAGCACTCCATTTTATTAAAAAATCACCTCTTTATCAAGTCATCAGTTGATGGGCATTTGGTTAGTTTCCAAGATTTAGCTATTACAAACTGGACTGCTGTAAACATGGGCATGTGTATATTGCTGTGGTATGAGGCTTTTAATTCTTTTGGAAAGATACCCAGCAGGGGAATAGCTGGGTCAAATGGGACCTCTAATCCTAATTTTTTGAGGAATCTCCACACTGATTTTCACAGTGGTTGCACCAGTCTACCCTCCTACCAACAGTGAAGAAGGGTTCCTTTTTCTCCACAACCATGCCAGCATTTGTTATGATTGATTTTCTGATACCAGCCATTCTTTTTGGAGTGAGGTGAAATCTCAGAATTGTTTTCATTTGCATCTCTTGAATGACCAGTGATGTTGAACATTTTTTCATATGTTTATTTGCCATTTTTACTTCTTTGAGAAATGTCTGTTCATTTCAGATGCCCATTTTTGGATTGGGTCTTTAAATTTGAGAGGTCTGATTTTTTTAAGTTCTTTATAGATTCTAGATAGTAGACATTTGTCTCAGGAACAGCAGGTAAAAATTTTTTTCCCACATTGTGGGTCATCTCTTCATGCTGTTGGTGGTTTCTCTTGCAGTGCAGAAGCTTTTTAATAAGATGAGATCCCACTTGTTGATTCTCTATGCTAGTTCCCCATGCAACTGAGGTTTTGTTCATAAAGTCTTTTCCTGTGCCAGTGTCTTCAAGAGTTCTACTTAACCTATCTTCCAGCAAGTTTAATGTTTCTGTTTTAATATTTAAATCTTTGATCCATTTTGATTTTAGTTTAGTGCATGGTGAAAGATATGGGTCTAGTTTTAATCTTCGGCAAGTTGAAACCCAGTTTTTTTCAGCACCATTTATTAAAGAGGCTCTCTTTCCTCCAGTGGAGGTCTTTGGCTCCTTTGTCAAAGATAAGGTGGCTGAATGTGTCTGGAGTTGTTTCTGCATCTTCTAATCTGTTCCACTGATCCTCATGTCTGTTTCTTTGCCACTACCATGCTATTTTTATCACAGTAGCTTTGTAGTATAGTTTCAAGTTGGGGATTGTGATGCCTGCCTTGTCTTTGTTGCCTAGAATTGCTGTTGCTATTCTAGGTCTCTTCTGGCTCCAAATGAATTTTTGGATTGTTTTCTCTAGTTCTGTGAAATATGCTATTGGAATTTCAATCAGGATTGCAGTGAATCTGTTGTAGCAGTTTGGAAGTATAGCCATTTTCACTATATTGGGAACCTTGAAAATATCTTAGCTGTTTTTGTTTTGGTGTCTTCAGACTCAGAGAGAGATGAGAGAGGTTAGGTAAATTTAGCGCTAATCAACTTTTTTAGACAGAAGCTCCTTAAGTGATTAACCTGTGTACATGAAGCGCTGAGCAGAAAACTGACCAGAGTTTAAGTAGTAAAGGACACAAATACAAAATGAAGGCAGAGATGCTAAGCTTTTATTTTTTCAATTGCCTATTAGGCATTTGTAGGCCCCACTAAAGAGTTATTGGTTTTAGCAAAAACAGCCTCTGAGTCCCTATTATAAAACCTAGTTCTTTATATGGGTAGTCAGGTAGGCGAAGTTGAGGCAGTCACAAATTGTTAGAAAAGGAAAGCTGACCACACAGTGTGTTTTGGGGTTGTGGGGAGGTGAAGAATGATGAAATAAGACTGCAAACCAAATTTAAAAATACACTGAAGAGATCTAGTGCAAAGAAAGATGAATGGTTCTGGTAAAAAAATTAGAGGGTGTGACAGAAAGCTAATGTTTTTTTTTGGTACTAAGGATCGAACTTGGGACCTTGTGCTTGGGAGGCCAGCAGCGGAACCACTGAGCTAAATCCCTGGCCCAGAAAGCTAACTTTTGAATGCATAGTTGCTGAGAATTTCTTGGAATAGGAAAACATAAAATCTTTAAACTTTGGGTGAAAAGTATATTACAGGGCTGGGGAATGGCCTTCCTTTTCTATTCATTTTAATCTAATCCAAGACCTTGTGCTTGAGCAGCAGGCAGTGAAACCACTGAGCTAAATCCCTGGCCCAAATTTAACCTTGTTTGATAAAGCTTACTAGAGTATTCCAGTTTGAAATATTATTTTTCCCCTTAGACACTACTGAGCAGTTGTCAGAGTAATTCATTTGTTGAGTAATCATTTTTCTTCATGAGATTTCTTATTGTTTTCTGTAATAGGTTTTAATGTTTGTTTTATATTATATATTTATATTATGATTTCTCAGTTAGGTTTTTAGCTGGATGGAGTTTTATGATTGTCCACTGGAAGTTTATAATCTGATTTTTTGCACTGTGCTCTATACAAACTAGTACACAATATTTACTCAGTTAATAGCTTTGACAGAGTTACTTCCGTCAAGAAGACTCTGAATATTTTGGGTAACTTATCAACTTGTAACTTTACTGTTTTCTCTCATAGGCCAATGTTCTGAAAAAGACTGCATGGGAATGGCTTGCCTTATGATGACAGAAATGGAAGCAACATCCACATCTCCTAAACATCAGAATGGTGATATTCCTGGAAATGCTAATTCTGTGAAGCAACTAGATTCAGTCCTTCAAGTGTTTCTTTACCATTCCCTTGGGAAAGCTGAGGGAGATTATCTGAAGTTTCCAACTGGAGAGTATGTTGCAGAAGAAATTTGTGTTGCTGCTTCTAAAGCGTGTGGTAAATATTAAAAATCAGTACTTTTCTTTTTTATTAATAGATCATTTGATTATGCTCCTCTAATATCATGTGCGTATGTAATGTGTTATTATGACTGGCAGGGTTTTCACATGCATAAAAAATGACAACAGCACTACAGTAAAAGTTAGGGTGACTGTGCGTTGGGCTGGATATCAAGACAAATTGAAACTTATAAATGTTTGCTGAGAACTTTTTATAAGACCATATAAGGTGACTAAAGAATTCTATCACGGGATGTCTCCTAAGTTAATCATAAAACTACGCCCTGAATACAGCATGGAAACAAAGTGTTGGAATATGTCCTTGATTTAAAATCTTGATTAAATATTTTATAGATGTGTTTGACAAATTGTTTTTTTCTAGCTGAGGATTTCTATTAATCTGTCTTCATATATATACTTTTCTTGTTTCTTTGATTTATTTTTAAATTGTTTTTACTCATGAGACCTGATTATCTCTTTTTTTCCCCTTAAATTCTTTTATTGGTACATTTTAGGTATACAATACCTTTACACTTATCATTGGGTACTTGTACCTGTACATGATGTATCTTGGTTCTTATTTTTTACCCATTCCTTGTCCTCCCTCTACTCCCTCCACCCTTCACTATTTACAAAGGCTTTGTTTCCATTTTTTCCTTTTCTCATAATTTTTCCTTTCCCTTCTTTCCTTTCCCCTTCCCCTCCCACTTCCCCTATCCCTTTAGACCTTTTCTTCCTATTTCAAATTAACAATTCATTTTAATCATTATTTACACTTTCAGTTTCTCACACCAGAGGAACTATTTGGTATTTACACATATGTGTCCTATTTATTTCACTTAAGAGTATGGCCTCAATATGCATCCATTTAGCTATAAATGTCTCTAGTTTGTCATTCGTTATGGCTGAGTAGTACTCCATTTTATAAAAAACCCCACATCTTCTTTATCCAGTTTCCAGTTGA